CTCTCACTGCTTCTTTATTCTCACTTAAAGCTGTTATTTTAACTTGTCAAATCTCCATAGCAACTGCTGCCTCAATTTTTATAGCTAAAGCAGGAGGAATCATTTCTAACCATACTAAATGATCCAATATATTGTCAGCATTGTTAAAATCTTTGGCTCTTCTTCCCAAAAAAGCAGACTTCTCCCCAGTATAACATAAAGAATCAGCATCACCTTTGACCTAAATCTCACCATCAGATTTATGAAAGTCATTCTTTCTTCTTAGTTGGAGGAGAGGGTGTTTCTGTGAAATGAAATAAAAACACCCCTCTATCTCCCCTGAGTGCTACTCAACTGAGAAATAAGACCAGGGTAACAAACATAAGCTGAAATACTCCCTACACTACTATGAAAGGCCAGAATATCTGAAAAACTTAGTGGGTAGAAACAAAATGAACTGTAATTGAGCTTCCACCCTAAGAAGGCAGACATGGAAGCCTATGGAGGAACTCCAGTGAAGAAACCGGAAAGAAGTGTGCTCTGTGGGCAACCTGGATCCCAAAAAGGAAAAAGCTGAACATGTCCAGACTATTATTCCTAAATTTACCTCAGATACCGCCCCTCCTCACCTGGCATGGAATAAGTGACAGACAGAAACCAGGAGTTTCACTAACTGAACTCCTTCTGCTTGGAAAAAAAAAAATTACCATAAAAGAGGGTAAATTGTTCTTTCTGCTCCCACTCCCAAACACTGCAAGAGTTACCAAAGAGGATTCATTTGTAACAGAGCATCTCTTCCTTTCCATACAACTTTAGTCATCCAAAGATATCAGATTGCAATTTACAATAAAAATATCTTTATCTTAACAACTATAAACCCCTCATTTTCCTGGTATTTAATTTAATTTCCTGGTATTTCATTGGCGGAAAAACAGTCTTCCATCTATTTTGTGTCCCATTTACTTATTTTTCTAAACCTAAAAATCAAAAGTCTGCCTTATACTAATGTGAAAATCAACAAATGTATTCTGGTTAAATAAGCTAACTTTTTAAAATATTTTTTTTAGTTATAGTTGGACACAATACCTTTATTTTATTTATTTTTATGTGGTGCTGAGGATGGAACCCAGGGCCTCCCATGTGCTAGGTGGGCACTCTACCGCTGAGCCACAACCTCAGTCCACATAAGCTAACTTTTTAAAGTCTCAGTTTCCTCTTTATAAAGTGGGGCAATCTACCACATAGAGATTATTTTGAGGATTTAAAGAAAGTCTGCATGTGTGACACTTAGTAATCCCATGCCTATCATCAAAACAGCACTTAGTGCATATTAGAGATGGTGATGGTGGTGATGATTATGATGATGATGGCAGTGATTTTGCTTTTCTTCATGATATAACTCTAAAATATATTCTGAACCTATGGCATGTCTTCATCTCCAATGCTACCTAAAATCTCTCAACTGTACTATTAGGACAGCCCTTTTTGAATAACCTGAAGGTTATTCAATAAGGAGGTTATTGCCTCCTACAGGTGTTCTTCCACAGCAGGCACAGTAATCGTTTTTAAAATGTAGATTAGATCTTGTCACCCTCTCACTTGAAGCCTTCTAATGGCCTCTCAAACTCAGAATCAAATTCAAACCCTTATCCTGGCCTACAGGTTGGACATGAATTGGCCCTGCCTACCTCTTTAGCTTCACATTCCTCTACTTTCCTACCAATGTCTAAAGAGTTTACTATTCTTTAGCCATTGAGGCCTTCTTTCTTCCCCCATAACTCTTCAAGCTGACTCTTGTCTAATGGCTCTTTTTGAGAAATTTAAAGCCCATAATCAAAAGATAATCCCTCCTACTTTCACTTCTCAATTTAAGTAATAAGTTCTTTCTTTTTAGTACTGGAGATTGAACCCAGGGGCACTGTACCACTGAGTTATATCCCAAGTCCTTTATTATTATCATTATTTATGTATTTGTTTAATTTGAGACAGAGTCTTACTAAGTTGCTGATGCTGACCTCAAACTTTCGATCTTTCTACCTCAACTCTGATTCATTGGGATTATATTTATGTGTCACAATGATAAGTAGTAACAAATTCTTCACCAGAAAATGAAAATAAGAAATTCAAAATTTCTTTTTTAAAATATTTTTTTAGCTGTCAATGGACCTTCATTTTATTTATTTACTTATTTATTCATTTATACGTGGTGCTGAGAATTGAACCCAGTGCCTTGCACATGCTAGGCAAGCACTTTACTACTAAGCCACAATCCCAGCCCCAAAATTCAAAGTTTCAAGAAACAAAAATTAAATCCTTTTTTTCTTTTCTTTGCTATAATAATAATTATCCTTGGTTCATGACACAAAATGACCATTGGTTCATGCCTTATTTGTGGGACTTCTTTTGTATTTATAATGTAATAATTAAACCCTCTACAGAAAATAAACCATAACCCAACATTCAGCTATAATCCAGTCTCTCCACCTGATGTCACTATCATTCTGAATATATGATACAGAAGATCTCAACAGCCCTATCAACAACCTTAAGTATTTACAGAACATTCCACCAAACATTAGCAGAATATACTTTCAAGTTTATGTGGAAAATTCCCCCACAGTGACCATATGCTGGGCCACACAGTAAATGCCAAGGAAAAAGTTTTCAATCAAAAAAAAGTATGACACACCCCTGGGTCCTGTGCTAGGGTGGATATTAGATGGGATGGGGGCAACTTTGAAGCAGCATTTGGAGGATACAATGAAAAAATCAGTCCATTGTTGGAGTTGTGTGCAGATTCACAACGATTTAATCTAGGTGGTTGCCAGACCCTGTCAGATGCAAGGGTGATATATGTTGTTATCCAGCAAGCAAACCGAACCTCTGACCATACTGATATTCCTGTGGTTTGCCTAGAATCAAATAATGGAAATATTATAACCCAGACATATGGTGCCATTACGATGGCAGTGCACAAAATGGCCTCTTGGTGTCTCTCAACAGTTCTCCAGCAGACTGTAACAGGGACTCAATTCCACCTATGTTAATTACTTGATAAAACTACTTTAATTCCAAAGATTGGACCATTCATTTAATGTGAATTGGGTACTTTTTTATTTATTTTAGAGCAAGGTGCTTTTTAACCAACCTATCAGGATATTAGTAAGAAAGAATCCTATTTTGAAGTAGCAGGTCCAGGTCACTTTGCATATAAGATTTTGTTATGTTAAATAAATTTGCGTGGAACAAAGTTAAAAAGCAAAACAAACAAACAAACAAGTTATTACACCATAATAAAATTAAGCCAGAAATCAATAACATATCTAAAAAAATCCCTAATGTTTAAAAATCAACATATGTCTAAATGATCCATGGTCAAAAGGGAAATTGAGAGGAAGTCAGTAAATATTTTGAGCTGAATTAAAACTAAAACCTAACAAAACTTGTGGCATGCAGCTCAAGCAGTGTTTGAGGTTTATTTACACAGACATATATTAGATAACAGCAAAGGTATCCAACCAATAGCTATAGAGAATTCCAATAATTTTATGTTGCCTCAGCATTCATTTTGAATTTGGAGTTAGACTTGCTGATACCAGAAGCAGGGCTTATTTTTCATTTCTCTACTTCTTCCAAGTTCCCCACTGTAATCAATCTAGGATCTACCTTATACCAATACCTTCTAGGAACCCTTATAGGATAGCTACATACAATCTAACTCCTCTTACTGACCCCAACACTCTACATGGACTACATAGATCCACCACACTGACCTCCTTTCAGTCACAGAAGATCTCACAGAACTAACTCATCCAGTTCACTTTGAACCCACCAGCTGGAATTCCTCCAGACTTAGGCTGGAGTAACACCCTAGAACCCACTAAAGGGTTTAGTCACACAGGTCCTCTTCCCCTCTCTTGCTCCCCGGGACCCACTGGCTGAGTGCATCCCAGATGGATTCTCTCCTCCCCTGTTGGTCCTGTGAGGTATGCTGCCCTCTTCTTTCTGGGATCTATAAGGTATAAAATTGATTGCTTTACCCCATTTCCTGTTTTGTTGTGCTGCTTCCTGAATCTGACCTGACATATCCAAACCTAATTTCTTTTCCTGTCAGGGATTTCCTAGAGTGGCTATCTTACTAGGAATAAATTGGACACAGGTCCAACAAGAGTTAAAGTGTCTCTCAGTAACACCTACCTGTAAATGGGGCATCTGGTCACAAAGTTAGACGCTTAAGCATAGGATAAAGAAATGTCCTGTGAAAAGCACACTGTAAACATCCATGACCACATCCCCTGGATCTCCATCAGGGTGGGACTTGAGTTTTTAGTCATTCTCCTGGGGGAGACCCCACCCTCAGACCAAAGTCTTGACTTTCCTTTAGATTATTTTTAAATGTACTTAGATACCTGTTCCCTCACACCTAGAGTATTAACTTTACATGATTAGAAATCTTTACTGCCATACCCTGGTGCATAGAAAAACATTTTTTAAAAAAACTTGTTGAGTATGCCAACATAACAGATACCTCTAATATTTACTTCATTCTAAAGGGAAAATAAGAGGTTTAAAGAGTTAATTAAATGAATAGCCCAAGGACGCACAACCAATAAATGACAGCTTTCAGGTTTAAGGCCCAGTCTAACTCCAAAACTTGGATTTAATTACTATGCCACGTTGCCTCACTAAATTTTACAACTTACTATGCTGCTTTTGACTGTGATTTAAATTCAGGATTCTAATTTTCTAAGCTGTGTTCTGATGGGTTCCACTCCACCACACAAAACCACAAGACAGCAGCCGGACCCGCCTGCGACCCTGACGTGCCAAGCCCGGGCCGGTGGATTTACGGAGAGCGCCTGCGCAGCCCGCGGACGTCGCGCACGGGGTTCTGGGATGGGTAGTTCGCATTCCCCCTGTCCCTGGCATTCACCTGAAAAAGAAATAATGATGCAAATTACGTATCTGTGAATTTCATCAGAACCAAACAAGACGCAGGTTCTGGCTCAGGAAAATGATGCAAATTCGTCTTTTTCAAATGAGGCGCCGACCTCGGGACTGGCGCCGCATAGACACCGCGTGGGGTCCTTGATTGGGCGGGGCTTGCTCGCGGTGGTTTGTGGCTCCTTCCTGTGTCGCTTCTCTCTTTCGCTCGGGCCCGTGGCATCGACAAGATGGGTGAGCTTTGCGTGGCTAGGCTAAAGGGCCCGCAAGCGGGATCTGGGGTCTGGGAGCGGGCAGGCGCAGGGGGATAGAGCTAGGAATAGGGTTCCAGTGGGGAGGCCTAACGGGGAGGCAGGGAAACGAGTTTTGCGCAGGCACATGGTCCGGCGCGGAAGAAGCCCATGCGGGCGAAGCGCCGCCGAGCTCGCGTTATCCAGGGTAGCTGACGCTACTCCCTGAGCATTACCGCGAGGCCTCACTTTTTGGAAAAATGCACCCACTGTTGCTCCTTTGTTCTCTCCTTAGTTGGTTCGTGAGAACGTTGAGGTCAAATGGACCCTGGGACTAAGATACATGCTGCGAGGGTTAAGGGGCTAAGGTGTACAAAATGACGTGGTCGTAGTTTTGCGGAGGAATTACAATGATTTTTATTTTTAGGCAAGTGTCGCGGTCTTCGTACTGCCAGGAAGCTCCGTAGTCACCGACGGGACCAAAAGTGGCATGATAAACAATACAAGAAGGCCCATTTGGGCACAGCCCTGAAGGCCAACCCTTTTGGAGGTGCTTCCCATGCAAAGGGAATTGTGCTGGAAAAAGTGTACGTGTAGTCTGTTGCTCCTTTTAAGTCTTGTACTCTGCGCCCTAGAAGGAAGTACGTTAGTTGAATTGTCTTAAAAAGCTGCAGTAAGATTCTAGGTTTTGACGTAGCCACGTTGGGGCATTTAGGGGGAATTTTGAAGTTGGTAACATAATGCTTGGGTGTTAAATACAAAAGATTTTAATTCCAGCGTTGGTCTGGGAGGAGTTAGGATACAAATGGGGGACATAAATTAACACTTTTGTGGAAACTTTTACAAGGAAATGATACCCATTAAGTGGGCAATCATTGTAATCAAATAGTTCTTATACTTGAGAAAACGAAGGTAAATAGAAGTGACTTGTCTGAGGAAATACAGCAAAGATTGAGCCATGTGGATTTGCCGGTATTTGGTTTTAACTTTTGAATTGTTGATTTTTTTTTTATATTGTCACATTTAGTGATAGTTATAATTTGAAGCGAGACTTTCTAGCTCTAATTCTTTAATTATCTTTACAACTGTGAAGGGACTACAGCTTTTCCTTTTATGCTGTGAAAAGATTGAGAAAAAACTTGTTTGGAATTACAGGATTTGAGGGATTTAGACTGGATTGGAAAGATGAAACAATCTGATTAGTTCTGTATTTACTGTATGTGTAACTTTTCAAAAAGCCAGTTCATTCAGTGGGGCATGATAGCAAGCTCCTGTAATCTTGTGAGGCAGGAGTGTTACAAACTGGAGGCTAGTCTTGGCAACTTAGGGAGACCCTATCCCAAAAATCAAAGGCTTGGGGATGTGACTCAGTTGAAGAGCACCCCTGGGTCCAGTCTCCAGTACTGCCAAAGCGGGAGAAAGTTAACTATCATACTATTTATTTTAGAGGGGTTGAAGCCAAACAGCCAAATTCTGCCATCAGGAAGTGTGTCAGGGTCCAGCTGATCAAGAATGGCAAGAAAATCACTGCTTTTGTACCCAATGATGGTTGCCTGAACTTTATTGAGGTTTGTGTTTCAAATAAGTTTAATTGTTTTTGGTTTCTGTTTTGGAGATGGGCTCCCCCATTTTTTATCTAATGAATGAGAATTTTCTTTTGTGATTGTCATTGACATCAGAAGTAAACTTATTCATTTATTTTCAGGAAAATGATGAAGTTCTAGTTGCTGGATTTGGTCGAAAAGGTCATGCTGTTGGTGACATTCCTGGAGTCCGCTTCAAGGTTGTTAAAGTAGCCAATGTCTCCCTTTTGGCCCTATACAAAGGCAAGAAGGAAAGACCAAGATCATAAATTTTGCTGATGAAAACAATAGTAATAAATTTTCATATTCCAGAAATGTTTTGTATTTTATTTTCTCCCTCTTACTACCACAAGTTACATTGTGTGCTTTACCAGTTTTAGGAAATGGAAGAATGATTATTTGAGCATTTGTTAGTGGGATTAGTAACCTAGAACAGTTTCCCTTTCTCCATGGATTAAAGGAAATTACTTAAGCCTATAATAAATGTACAGTTTTTACTCTAGAGTACTTTTTAAACTGATTGAATTTCTAGATTCTATTTTAGCGGTTCTCAGGGTTCATTGAGCAGGGATCCATGGGTATTCTAAGTTGCTTCCTGTTCTGTTGCGTATCTATGTTATTCTGTGTAAGTGGGAATGATTTAGTTGATGGAAGTACCTGCCAGGCAAATTGAGGCATAGAGGGAAAGGTTATCAAAGAACAAGCAAGACTCATAAGCCACATAATTGGTCTTTTGGGTGTCCTTTCCATAACTGTTGAAGGTGAGTGTTGAGTACATGGAACTTCTGTCAAAATTTTTGTTTTTGAAATTTCCTTAAAGGGCATGGCTGTTAGCCTTCTAGATTACATTAGTGATCTAAAAGACTCCTGTTGACTGCATTAATAAATGTGGTTGGTTAATTTGTTTGATCATTGCTTAAGCCTTGGGTTATGTTTAGGATCTTTGGATAAATTTGATCTCTCATGGTAACAAGATCAGGCAGCTTATGGAGGCATAGGAAATCCTGTATGTTTCTGTCTATCCTCCCAGCATGGATTCCCCAACTCATTGTTATCTTCCATTTTTGACCTTGCTGACAACAGGGTGCCTCAGCATATTTGTGCTTGTCCTGATCAAAAATTCTGTATTTGCACAAGGACAAAAAATCTAGCTGTCTTGGTTTCTTCCCCCAGAGTGATTCTTGACCCATGGTAAAGTGGCAGTATTGGCTAAAGGATTACCAATGGCTGAACTTTGTGTGACTTTTTCCACATAGGTCTTTCAAACCCAAAAGCTTCTGAAACTGCCCTTTAATTCTGCTTCTGCTGCCCCAGTAGCCCCTCCACCACCTGGTGACAAGGCACTTCTTCAACAGGAAGCCTGGGCCTAGGGTGAGAGGAATGAGGTACTTAACAGGGACAAAAATTTTAAGCAAAAGCCAAGCAGCTTTCTTCATATAGGAAAACATTCTAAAATTTATATGGAAAAGAAACTAAGGTTGTTAAAATGAAAGTGAAACAATCACAGACCTGATTTTAAAGTTTTATTTATAGCTCTAGTAATTAAAACTGGAAGAGGCGTGAGACCAGGTAAATGAAATAGAAAGTCCAAAATAGGTATACAAAAGTATGTTTATTTAATTGATTTTGTTTTTAAACAAAACCAATGAAGGAAGGATAGTCTTTTCAATAAATGATGCAAACTTTGATTTTGGAAACAATAAAACTCAACCTACACTTCATACATAGAAAAAGTAACTCAAAATGGATCACATATCTGAATGTAAATCACGAAACTTTAAATCAGAACTTTAAATTAGAATATCTTCTAATCACATTCAATAGTAATAAGAACTTTCGTCAATTCAAAATGAAACAATCCCATTACAAAAGATCTCTTCTCAAAAGAGATAAACATGGAAAGATAAGCTTATCCAGAAAACGAAAATTAAAACCCCAATGAAATATATACATGATAGGTGTATATCACTATACACCTATCAAAAGGGCTAAAATTAAAAATACAGAACCAAGTATTAGAATGTGGGGTAACTGGATCTCATTTTTGAAGGAAATAAAAAGTAATACAGTCACTTCAGAAAAGTTGGGCAGTTTCACATGAAGTTGAGCATATTTACCATGAACCAGTCATTGGCCATTGTACTCCTGAGTAGTTATCACACAAGTTAAAATATATGCACATACAGTATCCTGTGCACAAATGTTTATGGCAGCTTTATTTGTGATAGCCAAGAAGTGGGAACAACTTCAATATCCTTCAGTTAGCAGTTAAACTGGTATACCATAAGTTAAATACTATTTAGCCATAAAAAGGAACAAACTTGTTACAAAACAATAAAAGCATGGGGGATGTGGCTCAGTGGTTGAAGCCCTTGGGTTCAATCCTCCGTACCCAAAACCAAAAAGGGTGCGTGTGGGGAGACAGGGTCAGGCAAGGGAGTTTATATGGAGTTTACAGAAATCAATGCTTGTGATGAAATTTCATAGTACTACACACCAAAATAAATAAAAGTATTTAAAAATTGATGAACTGTAAGTAAAGTCTACTTAGTAGTGTTGTATTGATATCAATTTTCTGATTGTGAATATTTTCTGGTTATGAAAGATGTTATCATTTGGGAAAGCTGAGTGGCACAATTTTTGCAACGTTTATTGTGTGTGTGTTATATAATTTGTTCCTATACATATAAGTTGTGAACATGTAGTTAATCTGTATTAGTTCTGTTTGCCCAGCAAAGTTCAAATAAATAAGAAATTGTTAGAGCAGAAAGAACTCGGAGATCACTTAGTCCTAAGGTTCTCAGATCCAGGGAACATAGAATTCCGTAAGCCATTTGTGTTAGATTACAAATATCAATTTTCTGGGAAAACAATCTATCTTGAAGGTGCTCTAAGGAGAATCTGTCTTCTGACAACCTCAGGTAATTCTTAGGTAGCAATCCCCTGATTTTCCCCACTTGTAGGAACCATTGATCTTATCCAGCCACCTCATCTTACAAATTAGAAGCCCAAAGAAGGTAGCTCTTAAGATTTTAAAATTAATCACCCAAATAATCAGGATAGCTGAGATCAGAACAATAGTTTGTTCTCTAATTGAAATTGTTCCAGTCAGAATGTCATCCTATTGCAAAACAATAAACACTGCCTTAACAGTAGCTACTTAATAGTAGTCAACTCAGGCATATAAGCTTCTGTTTTGTGTCTTGTGAAGGGAAGAATGGTGTTATAATGTGATTAGTAATTTTTTATAGGTGTGTTTATATGGAAGTATTGAAATGCTTCAGTTAGTGATGTTCTGGAAAAAAATTGAAATGCCATTACACAATGTTTCAGATATATGTGGCTTTTTTCTTTTATTTTTTGACACAGCTGAGAGACATTTCTAATTTGACATATATACGAGTATGAATGTGTATATTAAATTCCTGTATTTCATTCTTGAAAAAATGTTTAGTTGCAGGATTTGATCACACTGGTCATGTTGTATATAATATTTCTGAATATGTTTGAAGGTTGCCGAAGTAGGTAACGTTTCTTTATTGGCTTTGTACAAAGTCAAGAAAAGAAACCAAGATCATAAATTACCATATTACCATAATATTTTAACTAACAACTATGTATATAATCTGTATTTAAACCTATAAAATTTGTTTGAATACATCCTTCAACTATTAATTTACATAATTCTGAAAATGTAGTTGGGAAGATTATCTTCCAGGTTTTGCTAAACGTTTCTGGTTTCTAGCACAATCCCTTTTCTTACTTGGTAAAGTGATGCTTTGTGAGTTTATGAGCAAGAAAAGTGGATTTTTAAGCTTATTAATTGCCATGGTAATGTCACCACAGGAACTCTAGAACAAAGCATGTAAACTTTTGACAGTTAAATGTTTGTAATCATAAACTGGTTGTCTGATAGGAGAAAATAATTTTTTTAGAGTGGATACATTTGGAGGAAACAACAGATAACCAGTATTTCCAAACATGCACACATAGTCACCACCTCATTCAGAAAGTCTCTTAAGCCTTTAATATGTAATGTGTATCTTTAAAAACACATATCCCTCATTCAGCCAGGCATGAGCACCATCTCAAATCCCTTCCTCCAATGCATTCTGCTTCCCAGACAAGGCGATGCCAAAGAGAACCAAACCCTTGGGATCATCTAGTGGAGTACCAGCACTGTGGACAGGTGCTTTACTACTTAATCTATTTGTGGCAATAAGATATGGACATGATTCTGTTTTCTAATCTATTCCCAGTGAAGGAGGAATTGCCGTTATTTAAAGCTACCTTTCCAAAACTCACTGTGGTTAATTATAAACATCATGGGGGGATATATGATATTTGGCTGAGTTAAAAGTGTAGGATAGAGGCAGCATGCCCAAATTTTCAAAACTCATATGCTAATTAATATATTATGGTGCTGCTTTACCTCTTTTAGCAGCCAGCTAATGTTTAAGTCTGTAAAATAGTGAACAGGGTAAGCCATGTTTTAAAGCTTTATTTCAGTCACAACTGAGGATAGTTAGAACTGTCACTTGTTGAAACACGTTTTGTCCATTAACACTTGCTTTGGAAACAGACATGAAACAGATTGTTTCATCATCTTTTTTTCTCCAACAGCTTTATGAATTCATTTATAATAAAGATTTTTTTCCTAAATAGTTTGACAGCTTTGGGTTGTTCTGTGTGTGTGTGTATGCGCGTGCACGCCCATGAGACACATGCATGCACACACAAGAATGACTACTTTCCCTTTCCTCAGGTTCCTAACAGGTTATAAATATCTTTAGGTTCTTACATCCAGTATCTAATAATTGATTTTGTTCTTTCTGCATTTTATACATTATGTTTATAATAGGTGCATCTCCCCCTATCACTAAACCCTCTTCCTCTTGCCCATGGTGTATATGCGTGTGTCTCTGTGTGTTAAATACTGAAAGAAAGCTATTGTGAATTGGAACTCATTTGGCTAGGATTCTTGATCTAGGCTTGGTTCCATAGATGGATTTTCAAGGATCTAGGGACCTTCTGAAACTGTATGCAGAATTTTTCTGATTACTTGGTGTTATGTATAAACACACAACATTTTTTTTTTTCCAGAGGGGATCCTACCCAAGAAATCAGCTTATGTTTTGAATCTGTACAACAGTGAGCAGATTTATAATTTTCCATTTTAATCACAGCTGAAAACAATCAAGGGAAGTTATCTATGGTTTGACATTGTTTAAGAAATATCCCCAATATGGTGAGATTCTGTGGATTGTCTTAGCCTGATTTTCACTGCTATGACAAAATACCTGAGGTTGGGTAAT